GTAAATAAATCATTTTATACCTCTTCAAAATCGTCTTTGACCAAATGCATATTCCATGAAAGAAGGGACTAGCACAAATCTGGTGATGCTTTGAAGATGTGGTCGAAAGAAAGCTGACCTCTTCGCGATTCGAAACTGAAAGAGCCTGAGTCCAGAACATTTTCTGCTGTTTAGCTAACAACGGAAGCATACATTCAGTATCGGACAGTCGATTGGGTACATTTCCAGATGTTTCGCAGACAATGCCAGCAAGTACGACCGAAGATGCAGCCAGTCGACTGCCCGATACCGAAGGAGGCATGACAACAATATGAGATTACAACTACGTCAAAGTTACTCTTGAAACCCTTGGAAACGGGCACACATCGGCAGTACTCAGGCTTCTGATCGTAAATTGTATTAGTAAGCATGAGATTTGTGTAATTCAGGAAGCACTACTCGTTCTAAAATAAGTAGTTTGCTCTAATGAGGACTGAGGTTAGTTGGCGTCAGGGCAAACAGAAGTCCATGAACCGATGGACAAACTGGATGGGTCAACAAATTTAATTTTTGGTATTAGTAACTTTTGAGGCTACCATTAATCAGTGAATAAGAAGTGATAGTATCGAAAACTACTTATCCTGAAAATAAGTAACTTTGTAGACTACAATGACCAACGGTAGTGTCCAGCTTCCGAGATGAGCACGACTCGGGTTCGAGTCCCATTGGGGGTACTATTCTTCTGGGAGATAAGATCAAAGCTCGATGACCTGATTGTGTCGGCACAAATAACGTATCAGTCCTAAGTTCGATTCAATCGACTAGGAACGGTGGTTACATGTTAGAGCACTGATGTGCTGAGGGAAACTAACACTATCATCTTTTCTTGAATTACCCCACCCATTTTTTATACATAATATTAATAAACTACTTGTTCAGTATCAACTAGTAGTATCGTAACCGTCTCTTTATAACCGTAAGATCAGGCAATTTATAGAAATAACCAAGTCATCCAGTCTTATAGCAAAAAAATAGGAGGAAATTTAAGGTAAACTATTTGTAGCTTGTTGTTAGAGTTTTACTCTGAAGCGCTGCTGCCAACAGCCCACATGAATCAACTACTACACACACACACACACACACACACAATATAGACATACAATAAATAAACATGAATTCACATCTACATTTCACGAGCTAAGGCTAGTGATGAATGTTCTCGCAATTTCTTGGAATTTCTCTTCCCAAAGGGCTTTTCATCCGAGGTGGATTGCAGTTTCCTACTCGTCTTGCCCCATTATCAGCGTGTCCAACGTGATTTGAGAATATCTTCTGGGAAAGAAGACCATCCAAAATGAAATGGTCACATGAGGCCTAACCAAATGTGATAGTGGAAAATGCAAATATCACTTCTTCATCATGTTATCCCATCTAGGGTGAATAAAACTGTTAGCTTCGAAGCCCACTTAAGACAAATTGTGAGATGCTTCTTTAGGAGCAGAAAATTTGTGAAAAGAAGAGAGTGTGATTTGATTGTGTTAGTTGCACTAGTTCGTCAAGCTCTGACGATGTCTGTCGGGCCGGAACAGAACAGACTTACCACCGGTTCATTAGGCTTACAGGACTGTAAACTGAAGATGTATTCGAGCAATCCAACCGTCTTCACGCCATGGCAACTAATCACTCCTCCCTCGGCTTCCAGTGCAACCAATTCACGAAATTCTCCCAACCAGCATTTACTTCCATTCGCTAAATCATCGTCATACGAGTCTGAGTCAACTCCAGTGGCATCAGATAATGCAAGGATTAATGGGAGAATTTGCCACAACTAAATAAAA